AGCCGGTGTCGTCAGCAGTGCTGCCCGGGGGTGAATCCTGCAGCCTTGCCGCTGTATTTTATTCATTTTAACAGTTGTTATTTTATTGGCCGTGTATATGCAAAGAGCGTGGCCTGGCTGCGCTCTCCGGATGGAGCCTTTGGCCGAGCCCGAGGCGCCATCAGGGTGGTGGTAAGAGCAATGAGGGGGTCTGGCCTTTCCAGACGGGTCCCCCCAGCATGGCTGGGCACCCCTTGGGGAAGCTCTTGGGGGGGCACCCCGCAACCTGCTCGTGCAGACAGACATCGTGCCGGTGCCTGGCGCACCCTGACCCGTCCCTACGTCCAAGCCTTACAGAGCAGATCGAGGGGGTCCTGCTGCGAAAGCAAAAAGCACCTCCCCCAGCCGTGCTTTCACAGCCCGTCCCTGCCCCCGTGGGAAACAGTGGGCAGCTCTCACCAGAGCCGGTGTACGGGGCTTTCCTCCTCCTCCTCAATCCATTCATTAAAGGAATGCGATTTGTTTTAAATGAGGGGAAAATGCCCTGTAACCAGCCCACGTGCAGCCGGCTTTTGCGGCCACGGGGCAGGCATAGGTGGTTGCTGTCGTCCTGCGACCTGGACGGCGTGTGATGAGACACCAGCTTTGCTTCCCTGTTCTTCTGACAATCACGGTCTTGGAAGAGATCAGCCAAAAGATACACCTTTGCCTTAAAACCACCGCGGGCATTTCACAGACTGGAGCCCGAGGCCTTTATTTCCACAGGAATCCTCATCCTGAACGTGCCAAACAAGCAGACAAACCAAAAAGGCTGAAGAGGACAGCGGGGGCATGGGGAGGGGGTCGTACCGGGGTCCCTGCGGCCATCCCCATGGCCTCGTGGCTGTGCCTCGCTGGAGGGAAGCCACGCTTTCTGTTACTGGGGTAATGGCGACGTTTGTGAGTGCGTCGGGTGAGTTTGTCTGCAGAAGAGAAGGAACAGCCCCCTTCTTCAACTAAAGCAATACTGCCAGGTTGTTCAGGAGCAAAGCAGTTGTCTTTTTTAAAAAAAAAATCTAATATCATCAGACATATTTGTTAGATTTTTTTCTAAGAGAGAGATGTATATATTTTTAGTGTTGTCCTCCTCGTCTCTCCCCATCACCACCGTGGCTGTCCCATGGGGACGGAGGGTGGCGATGCCAGGGGGGCTGCGTGGTCCTGCTCTATCAGCACCCCCCCTCCCCACAGCCCCATCGTTCCTACGTGTGCTTGAGAGATCTGCCAGCCGCAGGGTGAATTGAAAAGGTGGTTTTATTGAAAAAGTACTTAACATTTGTCAGTGTGATCAGCACAAGCGAGCAGGTGATGTTTGCAAACCAGAGGCCAGAGCATGGTCCTTAAAAACAAACTCCTGCTTCAGCTACTGCCAAAATAATGTAGTGGAACCCCCTGAAGGGGGGATTTGCTGGATGGTGTAAGTCATCTAGCACGCACCAGACCATTGTATGGCTGTGAGGTGATGATGCCTCTTGCAGGGCTGTGGTGCGGAGCAGCAGCTTCTCTGCAGCCCTGGGATGTACCCGCCTGGTTTGGGCCAGGCACGAGCTGCTTCGGTGCCCATCCTATGAGTGTGAATATTTGGCTCGGCAGGTAAAAGCATTTTAACTCCTTCCTGAGGAGTTGCCCAGGGTCGTGCAGCTGGTGTCTCGGTGGAGAAGCTGCTGGCCGCTTGTGCGGTGCGAGGGCTGGGAGAGGAGGCTCTGTCCAGGGCCAGCCATGAGATGGTTTGAGCCGAGCGGGGTCAGATGTGCTTTGGGGAGAGGTGCTTGGCACCCTCGGGGTCTGCATCTCAGCTCATCCGGAGGGACCATCTCCGGATGGCCCTGTCGTTTTGGGCGGTGTGCTGCTGGGACCCGCTGTCCCTGGCAGGGATGGGTGCAGCTCCTGCAGCCAGCGGGGTCACTCCCCGTCCTGCCTTGGCTTGTCACCAAAGGATTGCTTAAAGTAGTTCCCTTTCACGAGTGCCTCTGAAGCCCTTGTTATTGTCTGAGTTGCTGCCTGAGGGGCTGGGGGCTGCCAAGAGCCGTGCCACGGCCGAGCCGGGTTATTCCCACGGGATGCCCCAATGGACACTGCACTCGTGGGAGCACCCACCACACGTGGCCCTGGTTCCCCTCCTCTCTTCTCTTCTCCCTCTTTTCTCCTGGCCTCCTGCGGAGAATGGAATGTGCAGCCTTCAAAAATATTTTTGTTGCAGAGTATATTTTGCATTAGCTGTAATAGATATTATAATGACTGTGCACCTTCTAAAGATTTATGAGTTCAGGTTGCTGCTTGTAATAACCAACTCTTGTTACACCCAAGTTGTAATTAATATGTCTGATGTAAAATTAAAAAGTCTCTTTTTTTAACATCACTGGTTCTTTGTAGCGTCAGGATTATTGAGTTTGGGCACTGGGGGTCAGTGTGCGCCCAGTGCCCGCCACGATGCTCCGTGCCAGGGTGAGGTGTGCCCTTGGCCAGAGACGCTGCTGGGAAGCACGAGAACGGCAGAAGGACGCGAAGGGGTGAGCGTGGGCGCAGCACAGCGGGGTGCAGGGACAGCGGGGGACAGGGACGCCCCCAGCAGCGTTGGGTTTTGTCAAGAGGGGCTGCCCTCGCTCACAGTCCCACGGAGTGGTGAGGTCCCCCGTGGCCCCTGCCAAACGTGCCACTGCACAATATAGCCCTGAGGGGCTGAACAAGGTTCAGCTTTGGGTGCTGCAGATCTGGCCCGGGGGTGCTGCTGCTGCTTCGTGTGCTTGGCTCTTTTTTGCCAGACAGGGTGCTGAGCTGGGGTCTTGCTCCTTCAGATTTAGCACTGAAAAGTTTCCTGCTCTCAGAGCTCAGACCATTTCCCCTCTTATCTTCTCTCTCCTGCACCTGTGAGCCTTCCCCACGCTACCTCTGACGGCTGATGGGGCCGCGCGAGCGTGCGGGCACAGCTCTCTGTGCCTGCAAAGCGCCTGTGCCGCTTCTCCACAAGCCCGATTGTCACAGGTGGGAGCCAGCGGAGCATCGCTCGGCATCGGACGGGACAGAGTCGCTGCAAACCCACGACGGGCCCTTCCTCTTGCCCAGCTCACTGCAGATGCTGAGCCCACAAACTGCGACAATACGTGAGCCTGCCCAGGTACGAAATGCTCCTGTTTATTCCCTTCCCAGTCACATAAATAACTTGATATCATTCCATAAGTTATATACCATTAAACTATTAACATGAGCGTCTTTTCACAAGGTGAAACCTGGCCCGGTTCGAACCTGGGTAGGGGATGCAGGGCCAGGACGGTGCTGCCCCGCAGCCGGGCGATGCCCTGGTCCTGCTGGCACGTGGTTTCCCTGAACTGGTGATGAACGTTGCCCAGCTCAGCCCGGCTCTCCCCGGCTCGGCAGGCAGGGCAGGGTCAGCGCCTGCGCTGCTTGCGGCTCCTGGTAAATGCTTGCAGCATCTGCTCAAGTTTGCCGTTTTCTTGGATTTTGTAAGACTCAAACCAGCACGTCGCATGCCGGCAGGAGAGGGCG